TCATTCCTGACCCAAGCCCGGCTCCACCCGCGCCTCATGCCACGGGCGCAGCAGCGGCAACCGCTTGGATTTCCCGCAGCGCCCCCTGGCGGGAACAGTTGGTTTTTCGTCCCGCTTTTGCACGCTGGCGCCGGCGCCTTGCGTTCGGATGCGGCGGCCCAGTGGGAGGCCCACCCTTTCTTCAGCCACCTTTGGCGTGGAGCGCTCCTGGACTTCTTTTGCGCCCCGCCCATCGCATGCTCCACGTGCTACAGTCCCAGCAGGACTTGGCCCGCCAGGATGGCCGACAGCTTTCTCTGTCGGAAGCCTCCCTGCCACGCACCATCCGCGTTGCCACAAGGCTCTGCCGCTTTCCTTGCTTGAGCGGTCGAGCAGTGCTCTTTCCCGAATGGGTACATCCCTGCAACTGTTCAGGAAACCTTGTTGTTGCTGTTCCTCGGTGAGCGGCGGTCCGCAGCAGCGGCCGACCGTTTTCGTTCTGCACAGCCTCTCCCGGGCCATGGAGCGCCCGCAGCACCTTCCCTTCAAGTTCGGCTTGTCAACCCGGGCAGGTGCTGAGAGCGTTGTTCACTTCCTTGCGGCCGTTTTGGAGCTCAACCCGCCGGAGGCGACCATTGTCTCGGTCGACGGGATCGGTGCTTTCGATACTATGAGTCGCCAGTCCATGTTGCAGGGCCTGCTTGGCGTGCCGGGGGCAAACGAGTGTCTCCCGTTTGTCCGGATGTTTTACTCCGAGCCCTCGGAGTATGTTTGGCACGATTCGGGAGGCGTGCCGCACATCGTCCAGCAAGCAGAGGGGGGTGAGCAAGAGACCCCTTAATGCCAGCTTTGCACGCGCTTGGCCAGCACCCAGCACTGCAGGCAGCGCACAACCATTTGCGTGAGGAAACCTTGGTAGCCTTTTTGGACGATGTCTACGCTGTAGTCCACCGGCCGGACCGGGTTGGACATGTGCATGGCACCCTGGCCCACCAGCTTGAAGCACACTGCCACGTGCGCCTCAACGAGGGGAAGACGCGAGTGTGGAACGAGGCGGGCCAAGTGCCCCGGGATCTCGGCCAGCCCGGGATGCCGGACTTGTCCTGTTGGGTTGGCGCTGGTCCCTTGCCGGATGCAGAGCAAGGGCTTACTGTTCTTGGGGTCCCCTTTGGCTTTGCTACTTTTGTCCGGAATCAGCTTCAGGCGTCGCGAGCCGGCCATGACCAGCTCCTGCAGCGATTGCCCGAGCTTGATGACTTGCAAGCCTCTTGGTTGTTGCTACTCTTTTGCTGCTCCCCCCGCTGCAACTACCTTCTCCGGATGCTCCCCCCGTCGGTTACGGCCGAGTACGCCGGCGCGCGCGACTCGGCTGTTCTGTCCACCTTTGCGGACTTTCTTGGCGTGGATGGCCTTCCTGACCGTGCTCGACGGATCGCCCAGTTGCCCTTGTCGCTGGGTGGCCTTGGCTTGGTGTCTGCTGCTCAGACTTCTGTGTTTGCGTATTGGGCGTCTTGGGCGGATTGCTTGCCTGTCCTCAGTCAGCACTTGCCGCCTGCGGCGCGAGCTTTCCTCCGTGACCTTGAGGCTCCGGTTCCGCACAAGCCGTGTCTTCGCGCTCTGCCACAACACGCGCCGAGCTCAGCCTGGCGGATTGGACTCCCCCGAGCTGGCGTGAGCTCTGTGACGGTGTGCCGGCGCCGACCTTGCAGGAAGACGGGCCCTCCACCTTCGTTCGCGGATGGCAAGGGGCCGCGTTGCCCGCCGCCAGTGTGAGCAGCTGCTCTCCACCTTGGACCCATCCAGCGAGGCCTTGCTCCGGTCGCAGCAGGGCCCCTTCGCCAGCCGCGGTTTGACCACCGTGCCCACGTGCCCCGCCCTGTCCTAATTATCCTTCCCGCTGCCACTTTCCCAGCGCTACTGCCGGTGTCGTCGCCCTCTGGACTCCCTCAGCGACCACCGCGCAGCCTGTGCTCGGGCCGGTGTCCTCCAGAGCCGCGGGTGCCCTCTCGAGCGAGCCGCCGCGCGAGTGTGCCGCGAGGCCGGGGCGAGGGTGACTTGCAACACCCGCTTGGCAGACATGAATCTCCGGGTCGATCGTGTCGACGACCGGCGGCTTGAGGTCGTTGCCAACGGCTTGCCGTTGTGGGGCGGGCAGCAGCTCGCCGTGGACAGTTGGTATCTCCCTTGTCCGGCTCGGGGCAGCCCTGCCGCCGGGGTTGTCGTGTTCAAGGCGCCGCCCTTGCCCTTGCGCCGCAAAGAGCGGAGCTGCTCCGCTTGGAGCGCTGCCGCTTGGTTGTCTTGGCCGTCGAGGTCGGGGGCCGGTGGGGTGACGAGGCAGCCTCCTTTGTGCGCGCCCTCGCGCGAGCCAAGGCGCGAGAGGTGCCGGTTCGTCTCCGGCCTAGCCTGGTCGCTGTGCTTGTTGCCCGCTGGTCCGCACTCCTGTCCCACGCAGCCATGTCGGCCTTTGCTGCCACCTTCACCCAGCGGGCGGGGGCACTCAGCCATGCCGACGGTGCGCTCCCGCCCCTGGGTGAGCTTCTTGCAGATGCAGGTGAGGCGGCCCTCACCGCTAGCCGGCAGCTAGCCGGCTGCCTGCCGGCTAGCTGCACTTCGCACAGACGGTGGCCCCCGGGGTACAAATGGCTTGTGTGCCTCCCGTGCCCGGCGGCTCCCCTTAAGCAGGGCTTAAGGCGCCCCACCGAGCGCAGCAGCAGAATGATGACGCGGACAGTATCATGATGATGCGGACAGCATCATGATGATGCCGGGCAGCATCATGGTGATGCGAACAGCGTCATTTTTTTCAGCACTCCTTTTTGGTTCTGCCCCCCTCCAGAAAAAAAACCTTTAAGGGATGCCCCCGGGCACAAGGGGTCTTGGCGGCTGTTTTTCGGAGGCCAGCTCCCCATTTATATCCCGGCGGCCCCCGGTCCAAGAGGCCGTCACCGAGGCAGACGGCTGCCGGTGCTCGGCGGGCAAGTGGAGTCGGCAAGCAGCGCTCTCCAGTCGGGGCAGGGCCCGCCGAAGTGGACTGGCCAGCAGCGACCCGCCCCTCGAGTAAGGACTCGGCAGACGAAAGCTAGGCTGCGAAAGAAAACCAAGCAGACCACCGTGCGACCAGAGCTGCAACAACGGCCGGGCGTAGGGCAGGCGCAGCCTCCCGGCAGCAGGACCGAGCAAGGAGGCGGATGAAGCTTGCAGCCTCCTCGCTCCAGCGGCCACCGACCTCGAGCGCGCGGACGACCAGCCGGCAACGGTTGGACCGCAGCAGTTCGGGATAGACACGCTCCTTCCGCAACCAGAGCGGCGCCCCGCGTTCGCCCCGCACGGCGGCGGGGTTGGCCCGCAGAGTGGTGTCGACAGCCAGCTGGGCACCGCCATGCAAGGCAATGACCTCAAGGCGCCGGTCATCGACGTGGTCAACCACCAGGTTGAGATCGGCCAAGCGGGTGTTGGTGGTCACCAGAGCATCATGACGTGGTCGACAACATCATGATGATACACTAGCCACGCGCCACAGGTAGGGCAGCAACAACGTCCGAATCGATTGAGTTGACAGCATCATGATGATGTTGACAGCATCATGAGGATACCACAGCAACTTAGCATGGCGCGCTAAATAGACGCGCAGACAACACGAACGATTCCGCGTTACATATTCGGCAGAAAAAAGGCAGAGACGACGTCCTGACGAGTTCGACAGCATCATGATGACGCGGACAGCATCATGATGATGATGCCGGCAGCACCATGGTGATGCGAACAGCATCATTGTGATGGTAGAGGCACCCCGGCACCCGGCCGTCAAACTCGCAAAACAACATCCACCAGCACCCCAAACTGCGTGACCCGACCGCCAATCTCGCAAAGCGGCACCTCCACCAGCGCCCCATGCCCCCTAGCACCCGGCCGCAAACTACATGCCCCCCAGCACCCGGCCGTCACCAGCACCCCAAACTGCATGCTCCCTAGCACCTCACAAAGCGGCACATCCACCAGCAGCCCAAGCTGGATGCTCCCTAGCACCGTCTCGCAAAGCAGCAGCAAGCTTGCAAAACAGTATCCACCAGCGCCCCAAACTGCATGCCACCAATCTCGCAAAGCGGCACCTCCACCAGCAGCCCAAGCTGGATGCCCCCTAGCAACCAGCCCCAAACTGCATGCCAGCACCCGGCCGTCAATCTCGCAAAGCGGCACCTCCACCAGCAGCCCAAGCTGGATGCCCCCTAGCACCCGGCCGTGAAGCTCGCAAAACAGCATCCACCAGCACCCCAAACTGCCCCCCTAGCACCCGCCAATCTCGCAAAGCCAGCGCCCCAAACTGCATGCCCCCTAGCAACCGGCCGTCACCAGCACCCCAAACTGCATGCTCCCTACCACCCGGCCGCCAATCTCGCAAAGCGGCACCTCCACCAGCAGCCCAAGCTGGATGCCCCCTAGCACCGTCAAGCTCGCAAAACAGCATCCACCAGCACCCCAAACTGCATGCCCCCTAGCACCCGGACCTCAAGCTCGCAAATCATATTCCCTTCTTAATTACAAGTTAGAACCCTTATAGCTTTCAGCTATCTGGGGAAAAACACCTCACGACTTGTTTTTTTTCTGCTAGATATGTCGCGCGGAATCGTTCGTGGCTGGTGCATCAGCATGATGCTGTCAACATCACCTTATGTTGCTGAACTCATACGCACGTTGTCTGCGCGTCTATTCAGCGCACCATGCTGAGCGGCTGTGGAATCGTCATGACAACATCAGCATGATGCTGTCAACATCAACATGGTGCCGAACCGACAGGGGCCCCCAGAATCGTGATGTTTGATGTGCCTGCCGTTGCCATGCGGCTTCAGCCGTTTTAGACAAGCCTTTGACGCGCAACGGACCGTCCACGGCATGAGAAGGCTTGCTTCCAGTACACGTGGTGGACCGAAACAAGCTGCAACAGCAAGCACAAGATGGATCCTAGCAGCTGTAGCAAGATGTGTTGATTTGATTGACAAAACCTTCCCAGCCAGCCCCCACGCAGACAGTTTCACGCCTTGACACGCGTGGCCTGCCATGTCCAGCCGAAGAGCCCTTCGTGATGTGGGTGCGTGCCCCAGAACTCGGCTGCGCGCCGCACCATCCACACACTGTGAGGCCCGACGCCTTGGCGTGCCTCACCTGTGGCCCTCCAGGGTGAAGGCCCGGTTGGTGGCTTCCTGCGAACTTAGCCAGGTGTGCCGGAGTTCCTTGCTATTTTTAGCGGGATGCAGGTGTTCTTCTTAGCGATTCTGACTTCCGTGTTCAATTTCAGCGTGTTCCAGTACTTGCACAATGCCTGTGCCTGAGTTCATGCCAGCACGTGAGCAACTTGTGACATTACTGCTAGCTGAGTGGTTCAGGAAGCCTGGTTTTGTATGTTCTTTCATGGGGGGAGGGGATATTTGCAACAGTGTCCGGAGCAATCAGCAGCGCAGCTTTGCCCAGGCCAACGTGGCATACCTCAACTTAGCCGCTCCATTGTCAGAAGAGATTGTTTGCAAGCTCCCTCGGGACTGCTCGAATTTGAGAGGGTCCTTCTTGCTGTTTGTTCACCGTCATGCCATGCAGGAGGAGTGCGCCAGCAACCCTGATCCTGCGAGCTGCACTGTGGACCTGGAAGACCGCCGGTTTTGGAGAGGCAAAGGGGTGATATGAGCTGGCTGGGAATTGCGAGAAAGTGGACCATGTTTGACCACGCAACGTATTTGGCTCAAGCACGTTCAGAGTCGGTTGCTGCCATGTCTATGCGGATCCCCAACGAAAAAGCTTCATGGCTGGTTCACATCCAGCGTTTGCGGGGCCTCATTGATGAGGAGCGTGCAGAAGCACAAAGTGGCCCAGTTGAACGTATTGCTTTTGTTTGTTCTAAATGCTGCCAAATGCACGTATCACTGGCCTGGATCAGCTGTGCGAAATGTCAGTTTGGTTCAGCTGGTTTTCTCACTCTTTACAGTTTATCTCCTGATTGCCGAAGTATTTCGCCACTGCACGTGACATCACTGTTTGCACTGCCCAGAGCCAAGGCCGCTTTGGCAAGGAGCCTGAGAACGAGGTCCCTGGGCGCACATGTTCTGGGATGACCGCCGCCCTCGCCGAGCTGCAGGATGAGTGGAATGGCCGCGAGGCTTCAGACGTCGTTGGCTTGGTTCAATCTGCGCTGGCTCTGGTGGATCTCTACGAGGGAGCCAGCGTGGCACAGGGAGCAAGCGAGGACGCAGATGGATTGAAGGCTGCGTTGCTGGCAACTCGAAAGGCATTAAAGGATAGATGCTTGAATGCAGCAATCCTACAAAGCCTTTCCAGCCAGCGTTTTGACTTACGTGTCACTGCCATTGTGTTGGTGTGATTTGCGTTTTTTGGGCAGGGGATCTCATATATAGATCACGGCGACACCAAGGAGAGTGGGCGTTGGTGGAGTCAAAGCACAAAGCCCAGCAGCTTGAGGATGAGCGTTTAAGCCAGGCCGCGCCCAAATTTGAATATTGGAAACTGCCAGCCTGTGGCCACTGAAGGACTGTCGAATCCGCGCGTTGCAGACTGCCTTGGACAAGGCCTGTTCATCCAGGACACATCGAGAGAGCGCATGGTGTCAAAATCGCATGTGCAGATTGCATGTATCAAAGGACTGAAGCTGAGAAGCGTCACCTAGAAGCATATTCGACTGCTGATGCAGAGGCAGGGCATGACCGAGCATGGCTAGGAGGTGCAGCTTCACGATTGCTCATCGATTTGTTTTTGCCTGTCCATTTGTTCACTCTTCTTGCGACTGACAACTGCATTTCCAGCCATTTTGCCGCACTCTTCCTAGCTCAACCTATTTGCGAGTTGGAACGCATAGCGGAAGCGACGTGTGCCCAGCAAGATTATTGGAAGATACTTAGGATTCAGGATGAGCAACCGACACAAAACTGACAAGGGCTGGCAGATCGAATTCACGCCGGCAGCATTCGGACAGTGGCAAAGCCGCGAGGCCGCAGAACAGCGCGGCGAGCTTCGCAAAAGGCTCTCATCGGCTGAGGTGGCGCGAGACCAGGACAGAGCCTTTTTTTATCGCAGATTAATCGTTGTGGGTGTTCGGATTCTGCTTCGCCATTCCGCACTTCAGCCTTTGGCACAGGCCATTGCGGAGCTGGCGGCCGCAGAGCAGAGGGTGGAGGAAGCCCGCAAGGTGGCACAACGCCGAGAGGAGGAGGGGAATCGAAGAGAGCTTACAGGCAACAAGTGGCCGATATGGTTCATCGCTTTTGGAACAGGGATTGCAGATTCATGATGCTGCACGTTTCCCATTTGCAAGCAGAATGGTGCTTTGTGTGATGGCTCTTGGAGCTGACTATGTTTCCCACGCTTTGTGCTCATATTGCTCATAGCATGTCTCCCATGCTTCACGCAAAATAAGTCACTAAGTGAGTGGCGAATGTGTTTTGCCTCAGTTGGAGGCTAGCCCTCCGCCATGGCCCTGCCAAAGCTGTTGCAGAACTGATGAAGACAAGCCAGTCTATCCAGGAAGGGGAGGGTACCCTAAATTTCGGACCCTCATGGATCCTCCAACTATGCCTACTTATCATTATTGCCTTACCAGACTCGGTTGGTACACGCCTCATTTCTGACCATAATTTCCACTCAAATCTGACCATATGTTTTGTCTCATTTCTGAACATAGGGTGCTACTCATTTGTGACCATGTTTGTCCACTTTGTAGTGACCGTGCTGCGTAGATGCGCGCGCACATGCGTTCAGGTTGCACACAGCGGTTGAGAGGTCGGCATGAAGATGTTTGGTAAGGGCTTTGTCAGGGGGAGCAACCGGCAAGCGCAGCCAGCAAGGTCTTGGGCCCTGTCCGAGCAGAGCCTTGGAGATTGGTGCTGAGCACGCAGTGTGCTTACTGCAAGCGCACTGTGCGCTTCAGCCCAAGTCTTTCCCCCCCAGCCTTCCCGGTCTTTCCCCGCAGCCTTCCCGGTCATTGCTCGACACCGTCCCGGTCTTCTCCCGGGCCTTCCCGGTCTTCGCACGACGCCTTCCTGGTCCTTCCTCGACGCCTTCCCGGTCTTCTCCCGGAACCTTCCGGTTATTGCTCGACACCTTCCCGGTCTTTCCCCGCATCCCTCCCGGTCTTTCTTCCCGGTCTTTGTTCGACCCCTTGCCGGTCATTGCTCGACGCCTTTCCGGTCTTCTCCCGGGGCCTTCCCGGTCTTTGCTCGACGCCTTCCCGGTCTTTGCTCGACGCCTTCCCGGTCTTTCCCCCCAGCCTTCCCGGCCTTTCCCCGCAGCCTTCCCGGTCATTGCTCGACACCTTCCCGGTCTTCTCCCGGGGCCTTCCCGGTCCTTCCTCGACGCCTTCGCGGTCTTTCACGGTCATTGCTCGACGTCATTGCTCGACGCCTTCCCCGGTCTTCTCCCGGGTCCTTCCCGGTCTTCCCTCGACGCCATTCCGCTCTTCTCCGTTTTCACGGTCATTGCTCGACGCTTTCCCGGTCATTGGACGCCTTCCCGGTCTGCTCCCGGGGCCTTCCCGGTCTTTCCTCGACGCTCCGACCGAGACCAGGCGTCACAGGTGAGAGGTCGGCATGAAGATGTTTGGTAAGGGCTTTGTCAGGGGAAGCAACCGGCAAGCGCAGCCAGCAAGGTCTTGGGCCCTGTCCGAGCAGAGCCTTGGAGATTGGTGCTGAGCACGCAGTGTGCTTACTGCAAGCGCACTGGTTGGACGCCTTCCCGGTCTGCTCCCGGGGCCTTCCCGGTCTTTCCTCGATGCTCCGACCGAGACCAGGCGTCACAGGTGAGAGGTCGGCACGAAGATGTTTGGTAAGGGCTTTGTCAGGGGGAGCAACCGGCAAGCGCAGCCAGCAAGGTCTTGGGCCCTGTCCGAGCAGAGCCTTGGAAATTGGTGCTGAGCACGCAGTGTGCTTACTGCAAGCGCACTGTGCGCTTCAGCCCAAGTCTTTCCCCCTAGCCTTCCCGGTCTTTCCCCGCAGCCTTCCCGGTCATTGCTCGACACCGTCCCGGTCTTCTCCCGGGCCTTCCCGGTCCTTCCTCGACGCCTTCCCGGTCTTCTCCCGGAACCTTCCGGTCATTGCTCGACGCCTTTCCGGTCTTCTCCCGGGGCCTTTCCGGTCTTTGCTCGACGCCTTCCCGGTCATTGCTCGACACCGTCCCGGTCTTCTCCCGGGCCTTCCCGGTCCTTCCTCGACGCCTTTTCGGTCTTCTCCCGGAACCTTCCGGTTATTGCTCGACACCTTCCCGGTCTTTCCCCGCAGCTTTCCCGGTCTTTCCCCGCAGGCCTCCCGGTCTTTCTTCCCGGTCTTTGTTCGACACCTTGCCGGTCATTGCTCGACGCCTTTCCGGTCTTCTCCCGGGGCCTTTCCGGTCTTTGCTCGACGCCTTCCCGGTCTTTGCTCGACGCCTTCCCGGTCTTTCCCCCCAGCCTTCCCGGTCTTTCCCCGCAGCCTTCCCGGTCATTGCTCGACACCTTCCCGGTCTTCTCCCGGGGCCTTCCCGGTCCTTCCTCGACGCCTTCCCGGTCTTTCCGCTTTTGCCTTCACGGTCATTGCTCGACGTCATTGCTCGACGCCTTCCCCGGTCTTCTCCCGGGTCCTTCCCGGTCTTCCCTCGACGCCATCCCGGTCTTCTCCGGTTTCACGGTCATTGCTCGACGCTTTCCCGGTTATTGTTCGACGCCTTCCCGGTCTGCTCCCGGGGCCTTCCCGGTCTTTCCTCGACGCTCCGACCGAGACCAGGCGTCACAGGTGAGAGGTCGGCATGAAGATGTTTGGTAAGGGCTTTGCCAGGGGGAGCAACCGGCAAGCGCAGCCAGCAAGGTCTTGGGCCCTGTCCGAGCTGAGCACGCAGTGTGCTTACTGCAAGCGCACTGTGCGCTTCAGCCCAAGTCTTTCCCCCCAGCCTTCCCGGTCCTTCCCCGCAGCCTTCCCGGTCATTGCTCGACACCGTCCCGGTCTTCTCCCGGGCCTTCCCGGTCCTTCCTCGACGCCTTCCCTGTCTTCTCCTGGGGCTTTCCCGGTTTTCTTTCGGGGCCTTCCCGGTCTTCGCGCGACGCCTTCCCGGTCCTTCCTCGACGCCTTCCCGGTCTTCTCCCGGAACCTTTTGGTTATTGTTTGATATTATTTCGGTTTTTCCCCGCAGCCTTCCCGGTCTTTCCACGCAGCCCTCCCGGTCTTTCTTCCCGGTCTTTGTTCGACCCCTTGCCGGTCATTGCTCGACGCCTTCCCGGTCTTCTCCCGGGACCTTCCCGGTCTTTGTTCGACGCCTGCCCTTCCGGTCTTTCCCTGCAGCCCTCCCGGTCTTTCTTCCCGGTCTTTGTTCGACCCCTTTCCGGTCATTGCGGTCTTCTCCCGGCGCCTTCCCTGCCCGGTCATTGCTCGACGCCTTTCCGGTCTTTCCCCGCAGCCTGCCCAGTCTTTGCTCCCCGCAGCCTTCCCGGTCTTTCCACGCAGCCCCCCGGTCTTTCTTCCCGGTCTTTGTTCGACCCCTTCCCGGTCATTGCTCGACGCCTGCCCGGTCTTCTCCCGGGGCCTTCCCGGTCTTTGTTCGACGCCTTCCCGGCCCTTGCTCGACGTCTTCCCGGTCTTCTCCCGGGGCCTTCCCGGTCTTTGCTCGACGCCTTCCCGGTCTTTGCTCGACGCCTTC